GACAATAAACGTAAAACCACATTGACTAATGGCCGTAGATGATCTATCTATTCTCTGTTTACTTCTCTGAGTATCCTGCTGATTTCCATATTTCGATTATCTATTAGGCAGGGCATCAAGTAGGCCTTGCCATTTCGGCTTGCCGATAAGACGCAGGAGCCAAATTGCTACGTCGTCGTATAGCAGGACTCCGCGATTTGTTTTGATTAGGGCTAAAGACGTACTCAGGTAACTGGAAACACAGTGGCGGCAGTACAAGGGGCATTGGCAAATAATATGACATAATTATACTAAGTGACATATAAATCCGAACACCCAGTTTAAATGGTTGTATTTTAATAAAAGTTGGTGAATGTATTTATCTTACTGTAAATAACAAGTGAAAAAATTTTCAGCCTTATCAGTTGGACATTCCGGTTTTTATACTGCTTTTTTTTAATTCACTAACGCTCTAAAAATGAATATTTCAGCCGCAGTAAAGAATCAACGTTGGCGGATTTTGGTTCTTGACATCCTTTACGATCGGTTACGATGCGTAGAGTACGGAGACCTGTACGATTTCGTCAACTTAGTGAGTTTGATAGGGGCCGTATAGTGGGACTTCGGAAAGCTGGACTTTCTTTTCGGGCAATTGCAGTTAGAGTGCAAAGAAGTGTAGACACTGTGGTTAGGTGTTGTCAGGCATGGCTTCGAGAAGGCCGTACGCAAAGAGCAAGGGGCACTGGACGCCGCCGTAGAACAACAGACCGTGAAGATCGCCGCCTAAGATTATTGGCCTTAAGGGACCGTTTCTCCACTACCAGGTCCATTGCAAATGAACGGTTTGCAGAACACGGAAGACCTATTGGCATGCGAAGTGTTTACCGACGAATGAGAAGTTTTGGCTTGTTTTCATACCGGCCACACTGGGTCCTCCCTTTAACTCGAGAACACCGACGTAATCGCCTTGAGTGGTGCAGACAACGGTCACTCTGGGATCAGGAATGGAACTTTAATGACGAGTCTCGATTTTGTTTAGGCATGCACGATGGTCGTGCCAGGGTTAGAAGGAAGAAAGAATCCACAGTTTTTTGTTGAAAGACATGTTCATCACTGTTCGAGTTATGGTTTGGGGTGCTATAGCTTATGGTTCCAGGTCACCTTTAATCTTCATCAGAGGTAACATGAACGCGCAGCGTTATATCCACGGAGTTCTAGTACCCCATCTTCTACCCTATCTTGACACCCTGGCAGATCCAATTTTCCAACAAGATAATGCCCGACCACATGTTGCAAGAGTCACAATAGACTTCTTTCAACATAATGATGTCACATTGTTACCATGGCCACCAAGATCTCCCGACTTATCCCCAATTGAGCACGTGTGGGATATGATGGGCAGGAGATTGCTCAATTTGCAACGTCCTCCTCAGACTCTAGAAGCACTTCGAGAGGAGTTGGTGGTTGCCTGGAATGAGATACCATAGGAGGACATTGACCACCTGATCAGAAGCACGCCTAGGCGCGTTGGAGAATGCGTAGCACATCAGGGTGCATCCACACATTATTTAAGGTCAAAGGGCTTTAAAGCAGTGCAATCATTTTGAAATTTTTATCATTTACTTATTATGCTTCATTAGGTACTTATACAAAATTTTATTAAAATAAAACCATTTAAACTAGGTGTTCGGATTTATATGTCACTTAGTATAGATGACCAAACAATTTAGCATGAACACTCACCTCCGTTATCTGTCCTGCCATTAGGATACATTTCACACCCTGGATATATGCTAACAATATGTAAATAAAATCCCTTCCAGATCCGCTACTGACTGGAAAGGGTTAGAGAAGGGAGCAGAAATTGGAAATGGTCTAGGTTGATGTGTAGTAGATGTAAATTGATACAGATAAAGACAACAACTGCCGGTGATATGTCGCTGATTCAACACGGGGGAGGGGGAGAGAGAGAAACTAATTGTGTTTCGGATTGAGGATTGAGGAGAGAGGCTTTCAGATGACATCAATCAAATCCGATTACTTTTCACATCGGATGACAGAAATTCGGTGGTGTGCTAATACAATATCGTATTTTCAGTTTTTTTCATTATACGTTCGACAATGAAAGTGTTTAGTATCCGACAGTTATTCCAAAAATTACAAACATACAGAATAAAAAAAAACAAAAATCACTAACAGATTCAAAAAGTAACAAGATTAAAGATCCAGCATTTATATTTGTGCATTTAAAATCATCCACAGAATACACAGTCTTATCAATAAAATAGCATTTAACTTCACCTTGAAAACATTCAAGCTTTTTATACTTTCAAGATCATCGGTACGGGTATCACGTATCTTAAAAAGTGACATTGTATTATTTTTTTGTGAGATTATGTAGGTTTTTCTACAAGACGTTAACTTAGCACGACACGTCATGATGCTTCAGTTATCAATGTTTGGCTCTGATGTGAGGTAAAATCTGCTTCTGAGATGGCATTACTGGAGGTCTAAGTTGTAAGTTGTATACTATTGCTAGAAGGAAACTGCAATGGATAGGTGCATAA